GGAGCTTTGTCGGCAAGGTGATGTCTCTGCTTTTTAAAATGCTATCTAGGTTTGTGATCGCTTTAGACATCTTTTGATTTTGTGGCAGCTGTCACCATCTGCAGTGATCATGGAGCTCAAGAAAGTGGTATCTGTCACTACCTCCATATCTTCCCCGTCTATTTGAGAGGAGGTGATGGGACCAGTGGCCGTGATCTTAGTTTTTTTGATGTTGAGCTTCAGACCATTTTTGTGATCTCGTCTTTCACCCTCATTGCGAGGTTCTTTAATTCCTCCTAAGTTTCTGCCATCAGAGTGGTATTGACTGCATATTGGAGGTTGTTGATATTTCTTCTGGCATTCTTAATTCCAGCTTGGGATTCATCCAGCACAGCCTTTCGCATGATGTATTCCGCATATAAGTTAAATAAGCAGGAAGACAATATACAGCCTTGTTGTCCTCCTTTCCCAATTTTGAACCAATCAGTTGTTCCATATCCAGTTCTAACTGTTGCTTCCTGTCCCAAATATAGATTTCTCAAGAGATAGATAAGGTGGTCAGGCTCTCCCATTTCTTTAAGAACCTGCCATAGTTTTTTGTGGTCAACATGGTCAAAGGCTTTTGCGTAGTCAATGAAGCAGAATTAGATGTTTTTCTGGAACTCTCTGGCTTTCTCCATAACCCAGCGCATGTTTGCAATTTGGTGTCTAGTTCCTCTGCCCCTTCAAAATCCAGCTTGTACTTCTGGGGGTTCTCGGTCCACATACTGCTGAAGCCTACCTTGTAGGATTTTGAGCATAACCTTGCTACCGTGTGAAATGAGTGCAATTGTTTGGTAGTTGGAGGATTCTTTGGCACTGCCCTTCTTTGGGATTGGGATGTCCACTGATCTTTTCCAGTCCTCTGGCCACTGCTCAGTTTTCCAAATGTGCTGGCATATTGAATGTAGCACCTTAACAGCATCATCTTTTAAGATTTTAAATAGTTCAACTGGAATGCCATCTCCTCCACTGGCCTTGTTGTTAGCCATGCTTTCTAAGGCCCACTTGACTTCACTCTCCAGGATGTCTGGCTCAAGGTCAGCAACCACACTATCTGGGTTGTCCAGGACATGTTTCCCTTCTCTTCTCTGCTATTTGTAAGGCCTCGTTGGACAGCCACTTTGCTTTCTTGCATTTCCTTTTCTTTGGGATCAAAAAAACGAAGATCATTGCCACTGGTCCGATCAACCCCTGGCAAACAAAAGGGGAAGATATGGAGACAGTGACAGATTTTACTTTTTTGGCTCCATGATCACATTACATTCTAAGGCCTCATTGGACAGCCACTTTGCTTTTTTGCATTTCCTTTTCTTTGGGATGGTTTTTGTTGCTGCCTCCTGTACAATGTTATGGGTCTCCATCCATAGTTCCTCAGGCACTCTGTCCACCAAATCTAGTTCCTTAAATCTGTTCTGCACTTCCACTCTGTATTCATAAGGGATTTGGTTTATATTATACCTGACTAGCCCAGTGGTTTATCCTACTCTCTTCAATTTAAGCTTGAATTTTGCTATGAGAAGCTGATGATCAGAGCCACAATCAGCTCGAGGCCTTGTTTTCACTGACTGTATAGAGCTTCTCCATTCTTGGCTGCATAGAACATAATCAATCTGATTTTGGTATTGCCCATCTGGTGATTTCCATGTGTAGAGTCGCCTCTTATGTTGCTGGAAAAGTGTGTGCGGTGACCAGCTTGTTCTCTTGACAAATCTCTATTAGGCTTTGCCCTGCTTCATTTTGAACTCCAAGGCCAAACTTACCTGTTGTTCCTTTTATCTCTTGACCCCCTACTTTAGCATTCCAGTCCCTTATAATGAAAACATCATCTTTCTTTGGTGTTGTAACTATTCATAGAAGTGGTCAATTTCAGCCTCTTCAGCATCGGTGGTTGGTGCATAAACTTGGATTATTGTGATGTTGAAAGGTCTGCCTTGGATTTGTATTGAAATGATTCTATCATTTTTGAGATTGTATCCCAGTACAGCTTTTCCCACTCTTTTGTTGACTATGAGTGCTACTTCATTCCTTCTATGGGGATTCTTGCCCACAATAGTAGATACGATAATTGTCTGTATTGAATTTGCCGATTCCTGTCCATTTGAGTTCAATGATGCCCAGGTTGTCAATGTTTATTCTTGCCATCTCCTGTTTGACTACATCCAGCTTACCAAGGTTCATAGATCTTACATTCCAGGTTACTATGCAGTATTTTTCTTTGCAGCATCAGACTTTCGTTTCACTTACAGGCACGTCCACAGCTGAGCGTCCTTTCAGTCTTGGCCCAACCACTTCATTAGCTCTGGAGCTACTTGTACTTGTCCTCCACTCTTCCTCAGTAGCATGTTGGATGCCTTCCAACCTGAGGGGCTTATCTTCCAGCATCATATATTTTAGACTTTTGTTTCTGTCCATGTAGTATTCTTGGCAAAGGTACTGAAGTGGCTTGCCAGTTCCTGCTCCAGGTGGATTGCGTTAAGTCAGAACGCTCCACTGTGACCTGTCTGTCTTGGGTGTCCCTGCACGGCATAGCCCATAGCTTCTCTGAATTACTCAAGCCCCTTCGCCATGACAAGGCAGCAATCCATGAAGAGGCAGTGAATCCTAGGTTGAGCCCAATTTCTCTGAAAATGCCCACTCCTGCTTTAAATTGAAATTGTTACACGTTTTGCCACCACCGCGTCCCTCCTGAGGTGTGGTAAAGCAGTTGCTCTATTGAATTGTGCATGACACTCGTCTTTGTTCTTCTGGACATTCCATTCTGGAGCTTTGTATTTCCATGGAAATAAGAACTTTCTGTGAGAGGCTATTGTCTGTTTTGTATATGACCAATGCTGGGAGCCAAGTTTGAAGAGGGAGATAAAAAGTAAGAAGAAAATCTGATATTTGAAGCTATGGGGGATTTATCCCAAACTGGAACTTTTGATTTCAGAAGAAAATCTGGCCACTTGCCTCATCTAATGATATGTTAGCATAATTTTCATATACTGTATAGTGCATGCCACTAGAACACATTGCATTTGTCTGTATATATTATATTAATAAAGATATATATAAGCACACTAGTGTTGCTGTTCCACAAGCAGTAATCTCTCTGAAGAAGACTTATCCTTGTGCAACAATTGTACAAGCATCACAATCCAACTGGCAGGAATTGGATCCACTGAGCAGAATCTTACTATGGTAGTTTTCTTAATCTCAGAGAAGGGAGTGCTCAAAAACTGATACAAGTTTCTCAAATCTTTCAGATGTATTATACTTCAGCAGCACCTATTATGTTTAGCCATTATGGGCAGTTCAACTCCTTTTGTTTACTTTTGTGAAATTTAAATTAATTCTAGGCATTCTAAGTTTGCATACAGAAAAAGGAATTAGCACCAGCAACTTTTATGCAGATTTCTGTAAAAGGTCTATACCTTTCCAAGTCTTTCAAGTGCCCAGCAACTCCCCTTATTGACCCCTTTAATTTAAATGAAGGAAGATACAGTCTCCAGTTTTTATAGGCAACCAAAATTTCCTTGAGGTGTTTTCAAGTTTGCTTAGTATATATTGAGGTTCATAGTAAGTTTAAACGAGGTACTTTGAAGTCTGTGCAATACTTGTGCACATTAAGGCACTTCACACACATCAATATTTGTCAAGGCCTATTTATAGGGTAATGTGTCCTTAATTGGTTCCCAATTGATCTGAAAGCCAAAAGCATTACCAAATGTCTTCTCTTCCTTTTCTTTCTTTCTTTATTTTTTCTTCCACTTTTAGGTAGAGAAAAAGGAGATAGATGTTACTGGCTGAGGCAGTGAGATCAACTGCAGTTGTCGAATACCCTGGAGGACTCTTAGGAAGACTGCAAGGCTGAGAAGACCTTTAAACACACAATGGGCAGAAACCTTCTCCTCAGTATTCTTGTGGCCTGTATTCCAAACTAGTCTTTGAGAATAATAGTAATACAATCAACATCTATCAGTCTTTGTTTGCTTTCTTAATGCTATATAACTGCTTGAATTCATATGCACCCCATATAGATATATATACATCTGGAATAAAAATGAGCATATGCCTAATTTTATTTTTTAAATATGATTTTTTATTGCTGTTACATTAACAGGTTCAGACTTACATTTACATTAATTTCATTTTATATTAATTGCTTTGAATACTTCATAAACTGTCCTGAATATAGATACAAATAGATTGTGCAGGCATTTGCGTTTACATCTGTGCACAAGTGTGCGTGCATACATGTTCCTATAATGGTGGTGGCTACAGCATGTTTTTGCAGGTGTTCCTAGTTTTTAAGACAGACATTTCTACCTGGTTATGTGTTAGTAGCTCTTTTCATGCTTTAACATTGTCAGTTCACTATCTCAGATACTAGAAGCCTAACAATTGCACAACAACCAGAGAACAATTGATTTATAATACTGTGCAGACTGAGCAAAGAGCTCCAGTAAATCAGGGCTACCATTTGCTAAGGATCATCTGAGCCACTGTTCATTGAACTAAGATATAAGACGAAAACTTTCTGAGCTCCTGGTAATCAGCTCTCCAGAATTTCAACACTACTGTATTTCCGTTGCTCCTTTTCCTCTCTGCCCATCTTTGACCCACACAAAACCTTCCTCTCAATTGCAATACTTCACTTTCTTTGGATAGCTATTATTTTAGTTCTTATCAATCTCTGTGCCACCTGTTTGAAACCATGTTTAGCCTTCACTATTTTTAACCTGCGCCAGGCGCCATTTACTATACTGTCCATGGCACTATACATGCAGAGTGAGAACCACCAACAGAAAACACATCAGTGGTGATGAAAATGTGACCATTGGCTTCAATCCAAGGGACATCTTGCAAAACACAATCAGACAGTCGTTAAAGGGTTTCTGCATAGGTGTGTGAAAGCCATTATAACAAAAGTGTTCTAATAAAATAACATGCATGACTTTTTAGAATGTTAAAATACAAAACAGTCCACAGATACCTACTTCCAGCAACGGTGTGCCATGCAGCTCCATTTACAGTTCCATCTTCTTTCTGGAAGTCCTCAGTATGGCAGACTCGTCTACGAGCATCTGTCATCAGTCGGTGAGTGGAGGCGTAGGAATATGCCAGCCACCTAAAAACATGGTCATCTGGGGTAGGCGTATGCTCCTGAGTTTTCCATGTGGACCGGGCCATATCGTAAGGGTAGGCAACCACAAGCTCTCCTCCTTGTAAGTTGCCCCCAAGCACAAATGGAATTTTTTCCATCCATGCTATCACAGATCGTGTTTCAACTGCCACCTGGATGGGAAGATACAGCAATGTTGGGCAGTGGGGGGAGAGGTTAAAGCCACAGCATTAGGCATGGAAAATTCTTAGCATAAAACAATGGTCACATGAAATAAAGTCAGCTGAGGACTGAAACAGGTGACTGGGCAGCTTCATAACCAGAGCTGATAACATGTTAATTTTGCTGGAAACTAATCTTCCGAGCTGCCGTATTTACAAAATCACCATGTAAAAAGATCCTGTTGTTTTCTCCCAAAAACCATTAAAGGATAGCCATACATACTTTAGAGCTTAAACCAGCACCTAGTCTAAAGAGAAAGCTGCATGTCTCTTTCTCTCAGTCCCAGGGAACAAAAGACACTGACACCGAAGAAATCTTATTGGTAATCTTTTATCAACTCTTGGCTTCAGCTTAAATATAATATCTTTCCAACTGGTTAAGTATTAGTGAAAATCAGCAATTATACTACCTTGATTCAGCCTATCATGATAACACCTATGATTTATGTTTTCTTTATTTTTCCTCCTTTTCCTTTTTTATTGTTTATTGTACTTTATTTTTATTGCCTGGTATGTTTTAGAACTTAATTGTTAGCTGCCTTGACCACTCAATTTTTTTGACAGGAAGCCTGGATTTTTAAAAAAAAATGGTAAAATCAAATGTGAAATCAGCAGTATGCAATGTTGCAGACCTGATCCAAAGGCAAGCTTATTACAAAGGAGTGTTTATTCAATGGTCAAAACTCCTTGCAGGTCTTTAGGGAAACTGTGGTAGTTGATCACCTAACAGTAATAGTATTAGTAGCAGCACTAGCACTAGCACCAGCAATAATAAAAAATAATACTATCACACAAAGTATGTAGGAAAGTGCTGATGATTGACCTACATGGTGTTTCCAATGCTCACAATGTGTATGACTAATTCTCTTCTTAAAATACATGCAAATATCTTGTAAAGTACATCACACTTCTCATGTTCTAATAAATGGCTATGTATTACATTTCAGTAATTAAATTATAGATATTGTCACAATTTTTGTAGACTGAGGTTGACTTTTCTAATACCACCTAGTGAATTCATTGCAGAGCCAAAATGAAGTGGAACTTCCAGTCTCTTAGCAACGATACTACCCCACAACAGCTCGTGACAAATAAGGCTTAGTTTTTTACACCTGTGCATGATATTTGCATAAAGCATTAGGTGAGAACAAATCCTCCAAATTTCTGGTGGGGTGTAGTGGAGATTTAATCCTGCACTATAATCTCGGGGGAGGGGGAGAAGGATGAGAAGCAGCATTCAGCACATGAACAGGGAGGTTGAAAGATTGTGCATGTCAATGGTAGACAATAAGAAACCTTATGTTTGCACCGGACCATACTCAGCAAATACACCCGCAGTTCTCAGCCACACTGTAATGTATATCATGCCACTACCATTTGATACTTGTATTCTGATTGCAAAACAGTGATAGCAGTCACTGTCCACCAAGGAAAAAACAGTGGAAACCAAGGAAAAAAACAAGGAAAAAACACTGTCCACCAAGAGCAAAACACGAGGCTGAAGTTAGCTTCTTATTCGGCCAGCTTCTTATTCACTTCTTATTCGACATCCAGCTTCTTATTCACTTCTTATTCATGTCCCAGCTTCTTATTCAGAACATGTTGTATTTAAACCATTAAACCAAGTTGGATCACTCAAATATCAGGGTATTAATAATAAATCATAACTCTAACACAAATTACAATAGTATTTTGCCTGGCCCAATGCTATTTTGGGCACGGAATAGGCTGGCAAAGTGGGCACCGCTGCATATTTTAGCATTTTGAATAAGAAGCTGGAACGATGCTAGCTAAGTAGTTTCAGGAAATATCGTATAAACAGGGTTTACTTAAGTTCTTTCTCCTCATTTCACGTGGGGTATATTCAGCGACTGGAAATAATACTCAGTGTTTCAACAGGACAGAAATGAAGTAATATTGTTGCATTGTTAATGAACAATGCAATTCACACACACCATCTGTGATCTGCGTTTAATGCATTATATAAGAGTCACTGCCCCCACCCCTGCACACATAGTGGAATTTTTTTAGCCAAAGTTGTTCTTTGTGAACTATTTGGAAGCCTTTGAATCTAAAGGATAAAATGTGAATAAAACCAAAATGCAGATTACATTGACAAAAGTACTACAGAACAACTCACAGCAAAGATAGTGGGCCCGTGATCAATAAACAGGCCCCTGGGGGAGGTCATCAGGAGTTTTGGAGTTTGTGTCACCAATATGCGGATGACACCCAGCTCTATCTGCCCTTCCAACATTCTGCAGAGGATGCTGTCTCATCCTTTGAGTGTTGCCTGGATGCCATGCTGGGGTGGATGAGGGATAATAAACTGAGTTTGAACCCAGACAAGACGGAGATCTTGTGGGTGGGTGCCCCAGTGTTTGTGGATTGGGTGCCTCACTCTCCATTGTGGGGGCTACTCTTTCTGCTAAGGATGAGATTCGCAGCTACAGAGTACTATAGGACTCAGCACTGTCAATGGAGCCTCAGATAGTTTCTGTGGTCTTCCATCTCAGATGGATTGCCTA